CTATCATCTCTATCATCGAACGCCCTTGGTTTCCGATGTTGTAGTAATATTTCTTTTGTCTTTTTCATCAAAGAATAATGATAAGATTAAATCTATATACGAGGATTCGCCACCATGACCAAGTCTCTCTTGGCTAGAAACATTAAAATGCAATATACAGACGCCATTTTGTATCATAAAGCGTAATGGGAGTTAGTTATCGTCCTCGATTCCTAAAAAGACATCTCTGAAAGCTGTTTTTATATTTTCTTAGTAGAAACAGCAAAAATAACTTCTAATTCTGCAGAGGAAAAGTAAAAAAGGCTTATGCAGACTGTTTAGCGTATATAAAAAGTGAAATGAATTCAAAATTGAAATCAAGCTTTGTTACACAAAATGGCGTCGCTGCACATTGAAGATATTTTTTTACCTAAGATACTCAACCGCTTTACATCAGTTGATATTGGATTAATGTTTTGGAGACACTCCTCACTCCTTACATCAACTACACTTAAACTGAAAGAGGAAAATAAACAAATCTGGATAAAATCTGTCAACCAATCGGATTGCAGGATTTGAATAACAATCAAGTAATTTCAATACTGTCAATGAAGTGCATATATTTATTGAGTGAAACTTTAACATCACTTCTACATAATATTAATCATTTTCATGCTCCTTATAAGGCAAGTTATTTAATCCTATAATATATTGAAAGAGGTGTTTGGTTTCTCTGATTTCTAAGCGGATATRATATAATATGAAAACATCAAATTTTTTCAGTGCAAACCTCAAATTTCGCATCAAAAGCCGTTTGAAAAATCAAAGTTTGCTTTATTCTAAAGCTTACATTCTCTATGACTTTTACAGTTGAGGAGATACTTAAAATGGGGTTAAAACGGATATTGCTTCTTTAGCCGTAATCATTCGAGCCGTTTTTAACGTTGTTTGATAACATTAAATCAAAAATAGCCATTCTAATTATWACTCAAACTTTCTTGCTACTAATAGGTTTCTAGGTGATAAGTGCTGGCATTAAATTATACTATATATCCTGGTTACAAGTTCGACCCCCATAGGTTCCTCATTTTAGCTATAAAACTTAACAAATTAAACAAAGAAAAAAAATCAATAAGCGCCAGACGTCTACTTCTCTGCCTCGTCAGAGCTACCGGGAAGACAGGGACTGTATGACCCCTGTGTAGCTGGTTGGAGTCTCTTCAACTCCACTGAGCTGCTTTCCAGTTCGGGTTCGGCGGCACCAAAATCCTTCAGCACCTCATGGACCTCTTCTTCCTGGTAGTTGATTGACTCGTTTGAGTCTACGAGGTTTTCAGTGCTCGAGGTGGGCAGCAATCCCCAGGCATTCAGCTTTTTAACAGGCGGTTTTTTCTCGGGTTCGATGATTGTGTCATTTTCCTCRCAACTGTTATTGGGAAGCAACAATAACTTTATGAAACGAGTCGAAAACATTTAAACAATTTAAGGAATTTCAATCAAGATTAAGAAGGTTCAGTTAAGGTCTCCATACCCTCTTTACATGAACATAATGTGAGGTGTTGTTATAGGACAATAATACCTACCCTCCTTTGTCAATCAATTATAACAATTGAATTATTCTCTATAATTATTAAAAACTAATGAATACCTTCCATTGGTAACAGCCACATTGTTGTGATCGACATCTCCGTTCTCGACATGGATCGACGGTACATGAGCGTCCTCCAGCGGTCGAATGTCAAAAAAGCTGCCGTAGGCTGGGTTCTCGAACTCACGAGGCACCTGCTCTCTAGGTTTCCCCAAAGAGAGTTTTTTCTTCAGGGACATTTTTGCCTTTAACTTTGGCTTTTGCTCTTTCAACTGTTCATCATCCGATGTTGAAGCATTGGAGGCGCTGTCAAATGCGGTAGGATTGGTGAAGCCTGCGGTAACTTTTGGAGATTTTTTTCTCAGCTTGCCAAGGATGGATTGTCTGGACGAGGGACGCTCCTCCTCCTCATCATCGGAAACGTCATGTGTCTTGTTTACGGTGAATGAAGGACCTTGTACAGAGCTAAATAAGAAATAGCATTAAGCAATCAATATAATTCTCATATATAACAAAGCACCCSACTAAATGAACATGTACGAGCGTGCCAGTTGGTGACTTGATCAATCAATTCCGATAAAGACGACAACAAACTCATTACTTGAACAAAATGTCTTCTGATTATSATACACTTGTATTATCATGTAGATCACCTACGTATTGACGCAAGTTCAATCGCAAGCACAATTTGAACCGTAAAACRTGTAACAGAACCAGACATGCTGTCACTTAACGTCATATATGATATCACACGTTATGTAACTGCGCATGTCTGTGCTTATGCTTCTTTTTTTCGAACATAGTCCACAAGAGAAGACCTAAGATTTCGTTGCCTTTCGTCTGTATTAGTGCTTACGTTGTCATGAACTAGATTACACTAGCTTCTATCRTTATCTAGAAGTAATGTAGTTTGAAAATAATATATCTTACTCTTCCGTGAACATCATAGCCTGTGAAGATGCGTTCTGCATCTCCATAACTTCACCATCTCCGTCTTGATCATCGGCATTGTCTCCCTTCACTGTATAAGTGATATGTCTACTGTCATATCTAGAAATACGAACATTAAGGATTCAAATTTATTGATTAAAAGTCAAAAAACCTTTCTGTAGTTGAACTCGCTCTTTCATCCCAAAAATCAATGTCTATCTCACATGCASACYTAYCTATTCCTYCTCCATAARGATCAAATAGACGGCACAAAATTTGCCTACAACCATCGAATGAAAATGCTAAAGTTCAAAACAATTGTTTAATAGCCCTATGACC